AATGATCGAATAACGCGTGACGTCACGTCACATTAGCCAGTACGCATACCATCACCACATAATGAGCGCTTTCAAGTGATCGCTGGGCCAATATGGGGGGATAATTCGGTAATCGGCGCTGACGCAACGCGCGAAGAATGTTTGTGCGGCCGCTCGAATCGGTTCAGATACAAATTTTTATATCCATGTATTGGATCATCCGGTTGGCGATCGCGCTTCGTCGAAGTCGTTGCATCGTGTTAAATTTAATTCCACTAACGTTATAGACTCGAACGTTTTGTGTTTGTTTCTATTTCGCGCCATTTTGTGGCAAAGATTTTGCGACAAAATGGCTGAAAATGCTGTCTAGAATCACACTGCGTTAATGGGATGATTAATAACGAAATACAATTTAGCTTAGAATACAATACGTACTAGGTAATTTAAGTCATTAGAATTTTTAACAGCTTCTTTTAAGAGGATTACACTTCTTTATGTAAATAAGGTTTTTTTACGTCGCGCCGTAGTTAAAATAATTTTCAAATAAGTATGTTACCGTGTAACGTCGCAGGGCGCATCTAGTGAGATTATAACTGGGGTGAACGTTTCGTGGCTTCGGAATGCGAGAGGAAACCACATTGACCCCTAACACACTTCCTTTTTTGGGCCGCAGTCGAATATTCTTGTCCCCGCTTTGTTTCAATACACATGACCGATAATAAGACCGTTTCGCCGAACATATCGTGATTCCCGTGGCACAAATTCGATGCTTTTAAGAATTCGAGCGGGGCAACGCACGGCGCGGACGCATTCAAATCGAGATTGTTCGAAAACCTAAGACCGAGAGAATGCGCATTATACGCGCTATTCGGATTAAAATATTTCCCGGGGGATATTTTTAGAGCACAAGTAGGTGTGCGTGTTTGTCTGTGGGTTGGTGGATGTGTGAGACAGCGTGGCACCGCCCTCGACCAGACGTTGGCGCAAATCGGGGTTTGGCAGTTGAAATATGTAACCCAGCTATATAGATAATAGATGAAGCATAGACGTACAGTGAAGAGCAATAAATCCGAAACTAAATGCAAAGAACGAAAAAAGGAAAAGGCATTCTAAGCTCGCTATAATTCTGCCAATTATCTTGTTCCTTATAAAGAGAAGTGAATTAGTAGAAAACGCTGTTTCAGCCGTCTTGCCAGCTTCGTCGTTTTAAGTCGTAAAATGTGTTTAATGAAATGACCAAAACCGGGCAGGACTTTCGCCATTCTATTTGTGTAAGATGTTTGTTAACCTTCTGCATAGTTTATATACTAGCTGTGCCTGCGACTTCGTCAGCATATAGAATAGTTATTTTGGACATCATTTTGTTTTCCCGGAGATAGGCGCGGTCAAACACACACTCTTCAGCTTTACACTATTAGTACAGATTAAAGTTTGTAAATAAATTTGTGTCTACAAAAGCAAAATAAGTCGATAGCTTAAATATCTATATGTTTGTTGCTATTTGGCCTGGACGTTTATCCTTTTATTAAATATGGTATCTTTGTACTATTGTCATAAAAAAAAAACAAAAGTGGGACTTCCTGATTGTAGGCAAGTCAAAGAAATTACAGATAATTTTAATCAAAAGGGATATCAATGTGAAATGATTGTAAATAGGTATACTTCTAGATACTTACAATTAAGTATATACCTACCATAATTGACTACGCGGTTAGTTATCCGAGCTAATTAGATTTAAATTGTAACAAACAAATTAAACTAATTTATGTGTTAATTAACTTTTAAATTAATTAATTGTCGTTTTATTTAAGCTATTATGACGTGTATTTTGTACAAAAAATTCCTTCACTATCGTATAGCACGTGACGGAATGTATTTTCATTTATCATTGATTCGCAGACTAGAAATTGCTACAATCAGTTGCTTTCGACAATTTTATCGTAATTGCCTTACAATTTCATTCAGAGATAACGTGAATATCTGTTTTGACGTTTGAGATAAGATGACATTTTTCAATCACGCCATACTCTGTTTTGACGAGAATATACTGTCTCGACAATATTTTAAAAAATGCATATACCTATTACAACATATTGATATATACTGTTGATATATTGATATGTTTATGTTATTTCAAGTTAATATTGATTTTATAAGTGTACATATTGGTAAAAAGAAATATTTTCTACATCAACATACATTATGTTTATCCGCTTAAAATCTTTCCATAAAATTACTTACAGCGTATAAAGTGTAAATTAATTTCTCTTTAGCGACTGCAGTGACATAAAATGTGTAAAATTATGTTTTCACTCAACATTGTCGAAAAATTGCTCTGAAACCCGATATCGCATAAACCTCTTGAAAGCTTTCATTTGGCACGCTTTGCAAAATTTAAATTAAGTAAGTGGACGCGAAATATCACGAGATTACGTAAGAAATCGGTAGTAAAGGAGCCGGAGTGGTTGTTTACTAAAATTATAGCAACAATAAAAATTCCTTCGCGTTTGATTGGTATCGCATCGGACGAGTGGTGCGCTAGTGTGCGTGTAAATGTCTGTGTGTGCGATTAGGGATTCCGTGACACGGGTCACCGTTTCCAAGAACTCGACTCGTCTTGACGTCCCGCTGACAGGACTGGTTTTGTCGTTATACCACTAAGAAACATTGTAATGTCTAGCCGTCTCTGTCTCACTCCTCGGCACAACTATCGCTATCTCCCTCGCTGCATGGATGCGCACACGCGCCCTCTATCCCCCCACCTCGATACCCGGATCACGAAAGCTTTCGGTAGCGGGAGCTAACGAATTTCCATTGAAGATTTGCTGTAAACGTTATGTAAATAAGTCGAATGATAATAAAATTGCCGGCAAATCCGGACTTACTTTCTTTTTGTTATTAACTGTCATTATTGCTTAAAATCGTGTTGTTTCCTAAATTGCCGCATTAATACTTTCTCAGGTGAACGGTGGCGGTGAGCAAATGGTGCACGTCTTTAGTTAACGCGAGGAGTACACATTTAAATAAAACACTTATTCAGTATTTTTAAACTACGGCCCGACGGTTTTAATGACGGTTAAAATAATAAAGAACTTGCTTTGGTAAAAGAATAAGTTTAACTGATATATATCGCGTTTTAAACCGTTAAAGTGATTCATTTAAATGTGCACGTTCATTAAAAGATTTCGAAGAGAATGAAACCATCGCGAGAAAGAAATGTGAAACTTAAGAGCTCTGTCTGTGTCATGAATGGCAGGAGCGTCGAAATGCATAATATGTTCAAAAAGGCCACAATTCATCACAAACTTAACACTGCCTTTTAAGAAATGTCATAATATTGTTTTTGTGCTGTAGTTATTATAGTAAAATAGTTAATAAATAAAAGTAAGATATTTTTTTTATCCCAATACTTAGCACTGCTTTTTTGCAAAGAAGCATATTGTTAGGTGCTTAACCTATGGTATCTTGTGCATGTCTTAGAAATTCTAAAAAATAGTCCTATTATTATTGTTTTAAATTAATAGCTTAGTTACTAAAAGCAATTACTTCTATCTGCATACAGAACTGCTTCGTAATGAAAAATGTTTAGTCTCTTAAACGGTCTCTTAAAGTCTTTCACTCGATAACTAATATTTTCGGATAAACATAGCTTCATCATTTAAGCGTAGGTATATTGTAGTTATAAAATATAATTTATGCGTCATGTGCAAGTACTTGAGCAAACTATTATAGTTTTTGTTGTAACATTGTTTTTTGAGTAAAAAATAGTGTGTTGTTTAGTTCGTCATAAGGCTTAAAACGAAATTTCACGTATGATAACAGTGCTGTGCTATTTACACACTCCCATTATTTCTTTCTCTCACTACAAACAGACGGGCAGTCGACATTTGCTACAGCCGAGACGAAGTCTCAATCAATGTTTCAAAAAAAAAATCAATTAAAAAATTAGAATAAGTTGGTCCCGGTGGGGATCGAACCCGCGATTCGTCGATACATTGCTACCATTAGTCCAACGGGCCCGAAAACTAATTTAATGCATCAAGAATAGAACTTCTTTTCTCAAACTATGAGACTCATACTAAGGCCACTAGCTTCAAGCAATTGCCAACTCCGAGACAGAGCTGCGCGTATTATAGCAAGTAGCCGGCGCCTGCGCACCACGCCCAGACTGCTTCTGGGCCCGTTACCAGTTATCAATAATTACTCCAGCCATTATCTGCACCCAGCCACCTAGCTAAACTAGTTCGTGCTTGAAAACGCCCCTTCATATCGTAGGAATGCTATTTTAGATAGAAAACGCTTCTGATTTCCTGTATGTGCTTTAGAAGGCTGTGGGTTGTTCCAAGGGATTCTAGGACCCTTTCCACGGATAGTTCAATGGGAGAATTTTAATTAACGCCCCTATATAGAATTTTTCAAAAACGCGAGTCTTTGAAATGATAACAACGGTACATGTACAAACTTAATATGACATATTATTTGTTAAAATTAGGCTTTAGTCTGTAGTCGTCAAAGCTATACCAAATGTAAACATAGATAGCAGTAAATATAAAATCATCCGGGCGAAAGTATATAATAACAGTCTGTGGTTATTTTGTCTTCTTTTATGATACGTATAGTTCTAATAATGCTTTCGTGAGAACTTGGTTATGGGAAGCCATTTTGAATTTGGGTTATACATAATTACTGGGTACAAGATGTTTTAAAGCTATGTTTTAGATTGAAACCCCTTACACCAAAGAAGTGGTTTATTATATAAAGATATAATATTATGCATTAAATGTTCTCCAATAGGTGCACTTTTACCTATATATGTGTGTGTGATAGAAAGAAATAAAAACCAAACCTTTCAACTTCTGCGTCTTACATTTAATGCTTTTAAAACATTAAGATTAAGCTTAATAAATATATACAATTCTAAAATCGATAGGCTCAGTGGATGTTTTTTTTAAAGTGACTTAACTAAACCTGGTACATTTTTGCCTTGTATGTCATGGCTAACCTGGTAACCCTTGTTTCAGATATACTAAGCCCCAATCATTCGCGGACTGTATCGGCAATGAACTGCCACTGGGCTGGGAGGAAGCCTATGACCCTCAAATTGGGCCTTACTACATTAACCATGTCAATCGTAAGTATCTATGTCATAAGCTATTTTACACTTAAAGTTTTTTCCAAGCAATTAAGAAGCTTATACTTAGGATATCTTTAATCTAATAAACTGATGTTAGTGTGCTTATGTTAGTGGTAGAAGTGATAGAGAGATCGATTTTAACTTCCGAGAAAAAGGAAAATAAATTAGGTATCGTATTATAAATACGAACTTGTTCTTAAATAATGTTTTATTACTTGTATAATTTGTCGAAATGCTTACTAATATTTTTACAATCGACACTAGATTTTTTTTGTGTACTTAACACACACGAATTGAATTAATTCATTTTAATGCTAATACAATCAGAATGATAAATATCACAAAACAGACGTATTTAAGTAGAAAACGTGACAAATGAATAAACGTGTCTGTAAAATAAGATGCAAAAAAATAAAAATCAATAAAATTTGTAACACATTCGACCCCGCTTCCAAAAAAACACCCGATGAATCAGAAAACGAGTTTTGTTTTGATAATTAATATGGAATTTCACAAGACACCTGACTGCGAAATTGGGAACGCGATTTTGATATGTGGAATGGCGCGATCATAGGTATTTTAAGCTAAAATTATATTGTGGTATTTGAGGTGTCACTTACTGATTTTGTTGTGTCCATATAAGGTTAACTATTATCTAGGAATATATCGAGTATTTTAAGGAATTGATGGCTAGATATTCAAAATAAACATACACACAAATTAGAATATAAGTGTGGATTATAGAAATATCGCTTATAGTTTTTCTTCAGAAATATATATTTTTCACACTTTCAATGTCATAAACTTGACTTGGCTTTGTTTTGCAGTTCATTTTCACATTTAATATGACGCATTAGACAATTTTTTAATTTAAATTTTAATGGTTATTATAAATGCATATATTATTTATTTAAAATTGATCGAGCATCAGTTTTTGTTCTTGTGTTGTCTCTATTTATTTTCAGGGTGTATATATCAAAATAAAAGTTATATCTAAAAAAGGTTCATATTTGGGTTCATTATGTTATTTACCTCACCTCGCACTTAGTCGGTGTTTGATTTAATGTAGTTCAGTATTTAGTAGACCCGTTCTATTCATGAAATTTCAGAATACCCGTTAGTTAACAGTGTTAGTGACTAAGAACGAACTTTCCATTTAAGCTTTTAATTACTAAGCTGTGTTAGCTAGTTACGCGTATTTATGGATACAGACAAAATCGAGCTGTTATAAATTCTCTATACTGGGCTATTATCTTAAGTTAGCTGTTTGTTCATTTAGTATCTGAATAAACAGTAGACATTATTGTTAACTGTTTAGTGTTATTTACTGTTGTACTAGCTGAAGATTTGCATTTACGATGAGAAGTTATGGGCTAATGTTATTGTGTAGATTACTAACTAGATTCTCTCAAAGCGCCCTCTGGTGGCGATTCAATAACAAATATTTTTTATATAATAGGGTTGTGTTTGTTTGTAAACCACTACACTAGTCTATCTAGCTAGACACTTTTAACTGCTTAAAACGCGAAATGTTTCAGTTTCGGGTGCTTTGCAGCAGCCGTGGGCACAAGCGATACAATAGGTTAGCGAATAAATTTCGCGTTTTAAACCGCGAAAAGTATTTTATCTACACGCAATTAATGTCCTTAGGATCTATAGGGTCACGGGTAGGTTTATAATAAAAAATTACCTATTATGTTATTATGCAGTTCGATTACACAGTTGCCCTAAAGACATTTCTTATAATTAATTGTCATTATCATCCAGCATATTTTAATATATTTATAGAGGGAGTATTCTAACTATTTTCCTTATTCACAATTGAGGCATTCGGAGTGCAGTAATTTTAAATATTGCAACCAACTGCGTACAAAATAATAATGAATTATTTAAATAAAACACTTAAAAGGTTTAAAAGGCGAAAAATATTAATTAAACTTATTTGTAATTATATATAAATGTAATCAAAATAATTCCTTATTCACAATTAAGGCACCCGGAGCGTAGTCACGTCAAATATCGCTACCAACTGCGTACAAAATAATAATGGTTTATTTAAATAAGATACTTTAACGGTTTAAAACGCGAAGTATCTTAATTATTATTTGAAAATTATTTTAACCACGGCCCAACGTTTCGGGTATTTTACAGAAGCCATGGTCACGGGGAGGCCCCCTCGGACTCTTCCCAAATAATTTTGACTTATATTTCGAGTTTTAAACTAATAAATTCGTTTATTTACATATGTACTACTTGCTTAAAGTACAAACGTCTGCAGTTATTATAGAATTATCAGATTTACTAACTAGGTATTCAATCTTTGTCCTTTCTTGAACCTAAAGAAACCGATTTTGACTCAAACAAAACGCCCTAGGTTCGAACCACGAGCCATATTACAAAGTGCAAGTACTAGGCTAACATGACCAGGCGTTGATCATTATTCATAGTTAATGCACTGAGTCGTTAGCGTAATTATTATTTAGCTCGCCCTGCCTAGCTTGCGCTTGCGCTTGGGGCAAATTTTTCGCTCCATTATTACTGGCGAACTCATTTCAAGATTGAAGATTTGTATCTAGCTTCGCGTTCTTGCATAATTTTTACTTTACACACTAATATAATATGCTTCATAGAGTTTTTTCAGTTTTTTGAGCAAGTTACTAAGAGACTAAGATTGATGATTTTTTCTGCATATTGACATCGAATCTTTGACCTCTTGAATAAAAAACTCGGATACCGCACGAAACCAAAACAGTCTCAGTATACTGTCTTTAGTTTACGAAATAGTACAGATTTAAATAAAGCACTTTAACGGTTTAAAACGTATGTTTATTATAATTTATATATAGTATATTTTAGTTAAGCTTGTTTGCAAATTATTTTTAACTACGGCCTCTTCGGATGCTTTGCAGCAGCCGTGGTCACGGGGAGACACAAACAAACATACACTCACTGTATGTTTGTTTTGTTGTCTTTGAGCGTATGAGCACATGTATGATAGTCCTTTTAAACATATAAACTCCATTAACGTCACTCTATTTAACGACAAACTCTCTTAAGCTCGAAAATTGGCTTTGGTTGGTTTAGCTTGTTTTTCATACAATGTTTCTTCTCTCCATTTAACGCACAACTCTCTATAACGCCATAAATGCAAGTCCCTTCAGTGTCGCTATTTAGAGTTTACACTATATTTTATCTGTGTATAGGTATCATTTTATTCCGTAAAACTTGGAGGATTATTCTTAATTGAATTAAATGCAATGGAATATAATTAAAGTTACATATAATTAATAATGACGAGACCTATCGCCACTGTAAGTAATAACAATTAGTTCAAAATAGGGTTTCGGTAAAAAACCTTCTGAAAGAGAAACGATGCTCTGGAGTTCAGGTCCATAATAATGTCTTAATACTCTTAGTATTTAAAATAATGACTGAATAATATACTCTAATATATTAAAAAAATTAGGTATATCTCTTTCGAATAGTACATATTATTATAGCGAAAATAATGATTTAGTAATTTATTTCGATCGAAATCTAGGTTAATGTTTTGATCTAGCTGATGTGAGGAACTCGTGGGGTGTGAATAGAATAAAATGTCTCGTAGACTACTCTTTGAGAAGCTGTTGATAAAGCGCATAGAAATCAATCTGCATCATTCCAATAAAATCACTCAGCCGCCATTCCAGAGGCACTCGTCCATCGCGTGACATCCAAAGTGCGGCGATCTTTCAATTATGGAGCTCAATTCTGGACTCGCAAGGCCACCGAGTGCCACTCGAATCCGATTAGACATCGACAATTGAATATCGCATTCCCAATTGTTGCATAATATTGGGCCGTTGGTTCGAATGCTATCCAAAGAATTGTGTGAAAGTGTGATTGGTTCACGGTCAATTTCTTCTCCTATTTTTAATAATTCACGCTTACCTTGTGACTTTGGGAGTATTAAATCGTACAACATCCTCTGCGTGCTGGTAACATACTCATGCTACCAGAGGGTCGAGTTGACCAGAACCCTTAAAACACTACCAGCCCGCTACGTTGTTATCGAGGGAGCTCTGGGCCCACGTTTGTACGATTCGACAGTTCGTAGACAAAATTAGGGAGGATCTTGGAGGGGCGCATCTGGTCTCTTTATTCGTCCCCGTCTCATCACATCCCCAGTCCTTTATTCGCTAACTTTCTTATTGGAAATTTACAGCTCAGACAAAATTCTTAATGGATTCCCAATCAAGGGTTAAAATATGTGTCTTAGACTGTTCTTAAAGCCTTTTCAAGACCTTATTGGTATAAAATAGAGGATTGGCAGTATGGAATGCTTGGGATGTCAGATCAAGTCCCGTCCGTGTCTCATTTTTTTTTCAATCTAAATAGATTTCATTAATATAAGTGGCAAAATATTTTTTGTTATTTGATAATAAGTTTTCACATAGGGGATCTGATAAATGGCGAAGTGTCCTCGTCGCCTTAGCTAGTTTAAAACGAGAGAAGTAAACAAACAAGCTTTTTATAATTATTTTTTTGAAAAAGGTATCCGAAATTCAACTTTGTACATTTATGTATACAGTTGTGATGCGGTATCTCTTGATAAACCCGTTAAAAATGTCGCCTTTAGGTCCATGAAAACAATGCATGAATCATCTAATTCTGATGTCTTTGTATTTAACTTTCCGAGCGTACTTCCGTTACTTGCTAATAAATGCTCGCTGATTCACCATTCATCTCGACCATTATAAAACTGCAAATGGCGCTATAAAATCTATACTAATATTATACAGCTGAAGAGTTTGTTTGTTTGGACATGCTGACCTCACGAACTACTGGTTTGAATTGAATTATTTTTGTGTTAGTTGGACCATTCATAGAGAAAAGCTTTAGACTATAAAATATCAGGCTGTGACGAATGCGATGAAAATATGGAAAAAAGGGGAATTATTTTTCTTATTTGTGGGTTTAATTTGCGTGGGCTGCGTAAACGGTAAAAGATACCCACCAATTATGCAAAAAGATATTTATTTTAAATTACCCGTTCTCTTATGGTTTCGAACTGTTTGTCATTAGGCCATGGAAGAGGTAAATTAGTCGATGTGGCTTAGTTAAAGATCTTGTCCAAATTACGAACTATATAATTCCTTATTAAACTTGTAAAAGATGACACAAAGAAACAAAAATATAGTGCATCTTAAAACAAAATTCTTTGTGAGTGACTCATCAGCATTTTCGGTTGAATATTCATGAACTACAAAATGGCAGAATCGCAAGTATATTTTAATTGCACATTCATTCTGTTAGTAGCGCGCCCATTAAACATGTTCACATTAGATAAAGTAGAAATATAAATTGTAAATGGGAGCCATTTACATCATCCATTTACAGACATAGATGAATGGACGGCATTAAAAAGGTGTTGAGTATGCAAATGAGACGAAAAGTGCGATTTTTCAAAACGTCTTTTATCTAGCGTACTAATAGTGCGTCATTAAAACTGTGTGATACAGTATGTTGCTTTAATTAGCTTACGAAATGGTCCCTTGTATTTTTTTATTTAAGTACGAGTACTATAAGATACATTTACTCATATTTTAAAAGTCATTATTATTTTTTGCAACGAGCTGTGCCCGCGACTTCGTCCGCGTGGAATAGTGACTTGGGATAGAATTTTAATTATTTAGGCTGTTTACTAATTTATGTAAGGGCGCATTTAAGGCAGTCAATCTATGTTGTTAGTGCTACTTTGCTGAAACACTCTCACCTTTCATCACTCCTACTCTAACTCCCACTACCACTTCCACTCCCACTCCTATTCCCAAAAAGCCAAAGAAGTAAGTTTTATTCTTCTACCTTCAAAAACCACAAATTTCCATTCAAACTTTCATTCCATTTTTCAACCCCTATCAACCCAGCATTTGGCATTAAAAAGCCTATCTGTGTACCAAATTTCATTTTAATCAGTTCAGTAGTTTCGGAGTTAAAGCGGGCAGACAGAGTTACTTTCACATTTATATAGATTTATTTAAATAACATATTCGTAATAAAAAAAGTAATATTACTTACACCTTCTTTACTTAAAAACGCTTCAGTTGTTGCATTGAGTTGTAAGAGGTTCTAGATTCGAATCCCCGAAACCGTTCCGTTCTGACAGAAAATAGTAATCGATTATTCGTTTTCCTGAAATAAAAGCCATTTAAGTTAATGTTGAGTAAACGGGATTTCACAAAAGCTCATTGCGTTATATGTTTGTTTGTCTATGTATAAACTTCGAAACTGTAAAATGGTTCGACAATACTACTTCATTTCTAAAATCACGTATCACATAATAATTCGAAAGGGCTTCACGATCACCAAGTATAATAAACTTATATCAGAGTTAATCCGCACGTGACGAGACTGTTAGTATGTGAAAGTCGTATAATTTATTGGGAAAAACTTTGGAATAGGACCCCACATGTCACTGCAGTAACAATTTGAGGAGTTAACACTTAACTCATCCAGGAATAGGATACTTATCACCTCTAAACATTTGAAAATGTTGTCGATTTTAAAACCTCTAAACGTTTTTAACAGTTCAAAACGTGAAATATTAAATAACCCGACGACGTTGCAAAAGCCGTGGTCACGGGCGGACAGACCATACTTAATCCTATGAATATTACGAACATAAATGTACTTTTTTTGATAAAATAGTCAAGGTTCAGTATTCATAGGCCTCTGTAGCCAAATGGTTAAGTGTTCTAGCATTGCGATAAGCACAAGACGTCCTTAGTTCGAATCTCAGGAAAACAAAAGATTGCTTCGGTCGGGCAGGGAACACAACAATCAACCAAGGAGTTCACTTGATGGTAGGTGATATTTCACCTACCATCGCATACGCATCCTCTTTAGATTTTATATGTCAACACAAAAATGTGTTCGCCCCATGCCGCACATGAGGGAACGGGGTTTTTACTTTTTTTTTAAATTGAGTAAAACGGAGACTATACATTTTGACGACACGAACATAAGGTTATTATTATATATACTATGTCTAACGTACGTAGGTTTAAATATTTTCGCCATCTTTACACAGAACACAATTTGTATGCTATTTTGAATGTTGATTTGAGAATCTAGCCCAACCAGTTATACCCACATATTGGCAGTGTTTGCCTTGTTGTCTTAACCTAGACACGGCTAGGTGTTTAACTAATCTTTAATAGAGAATGGAATGCGATTCTTATCCGACTGACCAAAAGAGGGTGGTGGGTTTTATGGCTATCTCGCGGCACTTAAGTGCTTTTGTATACAATTCATTATATCTTATAGAAAATTACCTTTCTAATTGACTATGTTCTGCCCCGTATCCTCTATAGATAAGTAGTAAATAATTTATTATTGAAACATATATTTTAATTTATATTATCTTACGCCACAATGTCAAATGAATTTCTATAGCTACACTTAGAAATTAAAAAACCTAAATTAATAAATAAGTCTACTTGCATTTGCTACTATTAACAATACAAACAGTTTATGCGAATATTACATATTTAAGGGTTACAAACGTGAAAAATATTAAGTAACTTTTAAATTGAATGTAATGTTTTGCATAAGCCGTGGTCACGGGAATTAAATCAGTATATCGTGCTTTAAACCGTTAACTGTGTTTTATTTAAATGGTAAGATTTGCTGTTATTTTAATTGTTCGAAAATCTAAGAATGAAATTTTGCAAAGCAATGCGCCGATGCGTATGCGCAGAAGACTTGACAATGGATCACGTTAATCCATTCAGTAGAATGCACAATTTGTATCACTGCATAAAACTATGCATTATGCAAGCCATTGCAACCTGATTAACTTTCAACACAACTATTGGAACCAAGGCTTGTCGCTACTTTACATATATAATAATTTGTTTGTTTAGATTGCGTTTGGTACATAATCACATAGCAGCTAATACTATGTAGTATTGTTATCTTAGTGTATTTAAGCTGAAGAGTTTGTTTGCCACGCTAATCTCAGAGAATACTGATTCGAATCGAATCGATCGGTTAGGACATTGATAGAGAAGCCTTTACAATGAGCGAAAAACCAGTGGGAAATGTGGAAAACACGGTAAAATATATTTTAGATTGAAGATACCCAAAAAACATGTAGGAAAAAATGACTCCCCTTCAATGATATAAAAAAATCTCCTCGACACTATCTATATATCTATGTTCTAATATTAACTTGCTAGAACGACGGGACGCGATCGACGTCGTGGTTAACACTTAACAGGTAGATTTTATAAAGATGATAAGGTAGCAAAAACAAGTTTTGATGCCCAAAATAACGGCTAGTATATATATGTTTGTTTAGATTGCGTTCAGGGCATATCAGTGCATAATCACATAGCCACATAAATGTGGGGACCACCCCTTATAGTTATAGAATAGTTGTAACTCAAATGATTTAAATTTGTATTTGTCAACAGAGGTGACGCAGTTGGAGGACCCGAGGCTAGAATGGCTCAGCATACAGGAGGCCATGCTGAGGGACTACCTCCACACCGCTCAGGATGCGTTGGAGGTAAGTCGTGGATGTATTTCAGAGCTATTCTTTAATTTCATTCCAAGCTAAAAATGAACGTATACATAGTATGCAGACATAGTATGCTATAAAAATTTTCGGTCTTTAATAAGTTGATTTTGGTTGATAAATAATGTATCTATTCTCAAGTCCACTGTCCGCTTAGAGCCTGGAATATACTTGTCACAATTTTATTTGATTAACATTCTTCAAAAATAAATGAGATCTGTCTTTCACGACGATCTCTTACAGTATTGACTTCTAGATCGATTATATAAATTTAATTATACACAAGTTTAATCAATAGTTTTACAATTCAACAGCGTTTTGTTTTTTGCTGTCGTCGTCTTAGATAAAACGTCAATGGCACATGTCAGCATTTTTGCTCTAAATAACTGTTCTAGACCTTTCAAAATATACAAGATCTATATATAAAAATAATTCTTAATGTTAAATGTTAACCATCTAATGAAATCCGAATAAGTACATTTGTATATAGTTATGACGTCTCAATTGTGATAAAACGGTAATTTCCAGTCCGCGATACTTGTAACTGTCGTGTGATATGAAAATAATTTTAAAAATGTGCGTAGTACAAAACCACTTTCACTGAGCGTAAAATTTTGTTCATGTTGAAGGTGTACTGGTGTTGTTTATACAGAATCTTTCTCATTTATTTTCTTAATTAAAAACTGGTAAGGTTTTGACGTGGTAATTAGTCATATAAAGATGTTTGTTACCAGTACAAAATAACTCGGACCTCTTATAGTTAGAAGTATTATACAATTAAGTAAGTTGTGAGGATGGGTGTATAATTTGATTTAAAACACGGTTCTAAAGAAAATGGATGTTTGTAAGGAAAAAAGTCGGAAAAAAGGTAATGTTTTCTTATCGCACCTGACTGTTTATCCTATGTACCATTGTCGAATTAAAAATGCTGTAGGTCACTCAAATGTCGACCTTCGCGTAAATGCCAATAAAAGTGAATTTCTTTAACGCATTTTTTCTAAAGTGCACTAATTGAGTGGGCGCTTTGTAAGCGTGATAGCGTGACAACTTTTAAACTGACCGAAGGCTAACAGCATTATTCCGAGGCTCATTTCACTTTTCAGCTAGATCGTTTACTCTTTATTACTTACTTCCACCGCCGTTAGATGGAGTTAAAATCAATAAACCTTTTTAAATCTAAAACGCATTTTAGTCAGCTGGATGTGTAATTCACTCTTTAAATGTCAAATCTTAAAATATTTTTTATTTTTATATTTTTTTTGGGGGGAAAACCCCGCCCTTTTTTCCCCCCCCCCAAAAATTTAATAAATTGTTCTGATAGGGGCGCCAGTAAAAAAAAAACTTCTCTTTTTTTTTTTCTTCACTACAAATTAAACAAAAAAAAACCCCCTTTTTTAACCCCCCCTTTTTTTATTTTTTTTTTTTTTTTTTTTTTTTTTTTTTTTTTTTTTTTTTTATATTTTTTTTTTTTTTTTTTTTTTTTTTTTTTTTAAAAAAAAAAAATTTCCCGTTTAAAAAATTTAGTCAAGCTGGATGTGTAATTCACTCTTTGGAAATGTCAAGTCTTAGAAGACAAACTATATATTTATATATTGTAAGCGGTACAATACGATAACTAAGTTTTCTACTCATGTCCTATTCTGGAAAAATAATTTATAATTTGTCATCAGGCGCACAATTATCGCAAACAGAAGCAAAACAGCTGATTCGATTCATGATTCACGACGTGTCTTATCGATAAATAAGAAACCTTCTAAAATATTTTTTATCATCACGTCTGATAATGTTGACTTTAAAACTTCATTATTGGAAATGTTTTAAATTCTATTAAATGTTATAGCCATAAACTACCCATATTAATATCGATAACTTCTTGTACTTGTCACCCAATACCGTCGCGCCTAGTTACTTAAACAAGCTTATAGCTATGAAGCCACATACAACGGCGACCGGTGATGCGAACCAGACAAAAGCGTGCACCGAACAAGCCTCAAACACAATTATAGACACATATTGGCGATCATTTATGTTAGATCGTTTAAAGATCAGTCATTCTCTTACATGTATTTTTTTAGATTTTTTGAATCGTTCAACCAATACAAAAATATTTTTTTCCATTCGAACTAATAGTTTCCCATATTAGCGCACACACCGACTCTATAGTGTTACAATATTAGTGTAGGTAGGTACAGCTTTGTTTAGGGGTAGGATCAGGGGCATTTAGATGATCTCTCCAGACGTAACCGGGTCGAAAGCATGTTTATTATCGATCAACTGACGTCAAACAAGGTTACAAGATAACTGCACTTAGGTCGCATTCCAATGTCAGTTACGATCAGGAAAGAATAATAGAAAAACGCTTTTAATTCAAGGGCGTGCCCCAATGCTTTGTAAATGTTTGGAATATTTTTAACGTATTTTGGCATTCTGACCTTCGTCTTTATTTTCATAGTGGCAAAGCAAATACGTGCTGAACAAATACAATACGGATAAAAAAGGACAATGTCAGAATGTTTTGTGTAAAATTAAAAACGTAGCGACTACTTACTTAATATTATATAAATTTTAGCAAGATTGTCATTAACAAAAATCTAAACATTTAAATAAAATACTGTAACCGTTTAAAACGCGATATATATTGGTTAAACTTGTTTGAAAATTATTTTACGTTTCGGATGCTTTGCAGCAGTCGTGGTCACGGGGAGACAAATAAGTTTAGCTATATTAATATATATCGCGTTTTTACTACAGACAGTATTTAAAATCGAAATAAAACAACACAAGCCCACATAAACACTATTATCAAAGCGATATCCCATTAGCATATTCATACAGCATTAAAAAGTATAATTATATTATGAATAGGATGCGATATATCTGAACGTTCAATTGGAAACAATATGAGTGGCCTTATCTCTTATCAGTGGTAAGCATTCCATTGTTATCTAACTTGGTCTTAATGCCTTCAAGTGCACATTATAGATAGGTAGCCATTATTACGATACTATCTATTTTTAATTGCCGCGAAGCGAGATTCAAATGAGTCTGTGGAATTCGAGAATATTTATGGGCGTGCTACGATTGTTTATGGTATTCTATAAATAGTTTTTAATCTTACGGATGGTTTTGGTTATTAAATAAGAGAGGGCGCTGTACATAATTTTAATAGCGAAGTAAAGTTGATACTAAATATACGAAAACAAAGGATTCAAAGAGTTATTTTGTCTGAAGATTCGGTCAGACTGTAGTTCATAGATATTTTAGGGAAACTTAATTAAAATGTGTTACATAGCATTGTCTATTTTACTAGACCCCGATTTGGACTATGACTTAAAATATATGGTATAACGGTACATTTTATCAAGTTTTCAAATAATTTTAAAATAGATAAATAAACTCATGCTATATTCCTATACAATAGATTTAGTTTAGTACTTAATTTTCTACGGGCTGTACCGAGAGTCATAGATCAATTTCTAGAAGCAATGCAATTCATTACAACTATTTATTAATGACTTTAATAATTATGTAATGAATCAACGTGAACCAGATTGTACAATGCGTCTGGAATTTGTTATTATTTCTAACTGGTATCTAGATCCTATTAGAGACTATAAGTTTTAAATTGTCTAAGCTGTATATTTATTAGCTGTTTGAAGACAATAATTTGTGTCTGTAGGTTACACGAGTATACACATTAAAATACATTTTTTTTAACGTTAAAAGTGTTTTATGACAAGATTTTTTTGTTGGTTAAAAAACAATAGTACTTCATTTTGACGCAAACGTTCTTTGTATGGTTCTTTTTTTTTAATTTGTTTACCAATTTTGACAACATTTTGTGTTAATACATTAGAATAATACAGACTATTGTCAAAAATAGAACTTACTTCGCTGTCCAGTGCGACGTTATTTTTGAACTTTAAGCCATATTTATATTCTTTTATTATTTAAACGCTCACCCATCCAAATATATTCCGTTAAATCAACAAATGTCAGATACTATTCAATTATTCGCTATCCCAATTCTTTGGAAGTTTCTTTCCCGGAAAAAACTCCCTCTCCCGCAAAAAAAAACCTTTTTCCAATTATTTATAGCGTTATAGCCGAACGTACTGCGGTAAGATATGTTGTAGTTGTTTGTATATTTATTGTTATATCGCCTAAAAGATTAACTCTAACGACAGTCTAGCTATAGCTAAATAAATGATTTTTATATTTAATTTCAATAAGCAGAATTTAATTTATAAAATTTCAGCCCTTACTAAAAAAATAATTAAGTATGTAACCACAATTAAGAGTGATATAATATACAAGTACAAATATGGTTTAATAATCTGGTATTTTGGTTGAGTTTGAAGCTTCAGGACAGGATCAGTCTTCGAATCTCAGGAAAGCTTTATGCTCGGTTTGAGGGGGGAGAAAAGTGTTTGCTCGTTCAATGGAAAATGTCTTAAGCGAAAAACTTATAAAGATATGTACGTCCTTAGCATATAAATATGCGATATTTCTGTCTGTACATAGTTGCATGGTAACCATGGTACGTGTAGGTATGCAATTTATAAACACCAATGTTATATGTAATTTTATACCTTACTACAACATGTTACAGTACGTTTTACATTGTACATTATTGTGATAAATAATTGACGGGATTATAATCTTTTATCCTTTGGTTTAAGTTTTATATTCGCGTGCAAGCGTGGGCAGTGAGTTTTGTATGGAAGTTTATTTGCGCAAAGCGATGAGGTCCCAGGTTTGGCAATGAATCGTGTTTAGAAAGCATATTGAACCAAATACTGGAATGCAGAAATAGTACTGTGGCGGAATTGGTATATTCTTGTAGGTATATCTGGATGAAAACAGTACTATACTGTACTGAGAATTTAGGTTACCTTCTTATAACAAACTTAACATAACTTATTGCGTTCTGTATTTATCTAGGTTAAGTCTCACTCTATGATTTGTCAATTGTTTCTGTATTCGCTAATACAGAATGTTAAAATATCAATGGAGTTTGCTCTTTTACCACTTTCTTTATCTGGCTTATCTAGTATAAAGTCCGTTGCCATGGTAACTATGTACATTGATTGTTTGATTGTATCAATCGCTTACGCATCTCAAATTGGCTGATGGCAATCTTTAGCAACGGAATACTCGGCGTTGTATAATATTACCACGACGTGAGTTATGTTCTTTCTCTTATCAATCTCGTCTTGGTAAATTCCAAAGACTATCTAGTACAAAATAATCTAGAGGTCTAGTACAAAGAAAAGTTACCCTATAAATACACTGTTATAAGTTCCTACTAATCAGACTTTTGCATCAATATTAAAAAATATCATAACGTCAAAATTTCTATTTTTTTAAATAAAACATTATTACCGGTTTCAAATGCGACATATATTAGTTATCTTAAAGCCTTGTAGAAAACGAGGGTACGTGGAGGGCTACTACAAAGCATTCGCCATACTTAAAATAAATTTACTAATATATATCGCGTTTGAACTGTAAGAAGTGTTTTATTTAACTGTGTACTCGCGTAAACTAGAGACAACAATATTTAAAACTACATAAAAGTATTATTTTGGTTTTGTTTATAACTTCAATTTTTTGTGTTTAAAAGTATCATCTGTATTATATTCTTAGGTAGCTATAATTTTTTTACGAAACATTCCATTCGTACCACGATATCAATTTCTCCATAACCCAAAATACAAAACGAACCTCTCGAGTTGCAAATCGAATTACGGTCGAATTAAATTAGTAACTCGATACATTACTCGGTCATATGTTGACATAATGATGTCATCTGTATCAAATCACACGCCCTGCACTACACCCTAAATGCAAACAGTGCGTCATTTTGTTTATCTGTTGCTACCACAGTTTAATCCACCATACTTCATATCATTCATGAAAATATTATTTTATTAACATCACCCCATAGTGTCTTTGTTTAACATTAAACAACACTTAACTGATTTAAGTAAAGCACTTTTAACGGTTTAAAACGAGACACAACAAATTATTTTAACTACGGCCTGACTTTCGGACCCCCTGACGATGGCTACTGCAAAGCATCTGAAACGTCGGGCCGTAGATAAAATTATAAATAACATGATATTATTTTACATAAAGTTATACATAATGCTAGTTTTATTCTTGTTAAATATTGATTCTAATGCGGAAAACTTCACAGCTTGTTTATTGTTGGTATGAATTCGCATGGAACGGTATAACCTAGTGTAAGATCAATTAAAACATATTTACATGGGCTTCAAGAAAATAGTGTACATTGCTGCAAGCCTTTTAAATTGCCTTTTACCAAAGGCTCTTCAGAAATTGAAGTTAAAACAGTTTACTGAAACAACACAGAAAGTTAAACTCATCAAACACTTGTGATCTCAAGACGAAACCTTGAGTAAGTGCTGCTACTGTATGTTTAAAGATACTTTCTATAATTTCTACTACTTTGCGAAAACCTTAAATTACATATAATTTTTATCGCTAAGCGGTAATATGTTGTTTAGTTAATAACGGTGTTATTTAATTTAACATATTTTGAATTCAAACTAGTTACTGTCATTTAATAAGAACTTTATAAGTTAGTTTTATTATTAATTGTACGAAAATCTAAACAAGTTTTCTCTGACTGAGACATTTAAAAAGTATTTAACTAAGGCATTTAAGCTTAATTGGTTAA